AAACGTTTCGTCTCTCATCCGAGAGACTTCCTCAGTCTGAGGTGCTGTATTCAGCTCAGTCTCTTAAATAGCACCGTCTCAGAGTGGATCAACCAGTTTTGCTGCTGACAACCAAAACCAGCTGATCACATGGTCAAGAAGGACCATCAGCCTAACAATGGATCATTAGCACCTGATGGCTGTTTACTGTTCACAGAGGGCTGAGTGATACTAGCAATCACAGCATTGTAAGAGGGGGACAGTTGAACCTGGAGGCTCCACCCCTGTTTAATGATGGACGGTGTCTTTTCACAAAGATGGCCTCCTTTACTCCTCTCTCAAACCATCGTTCCTCTCTGTCCAGGATGTGAACATCTTCATCCCTGAAAGAGTGACCTCTGGCCTGGAGATGAGTGTAGACCTCAGAATCCTGGCCTGATTATGTTGATCTTCTGTGCTGGTCCATCCTTTTGGCCAGTGGCTGTTTAGTTTCCCCGAAGTAAGACTGATCACCCTCCTGACACTGAACAACATACACAACATTACTCTGTTTGTGCCGGGGGACTGGATCTTTGGGATGAACCAGTCTTTAATGTATTTTGGGGTTTAAAAGCCACTGGGACGTTATGTTTAGAAAATAAACATCTCAGTTTCTCTGATACTCCCTCAACATACGGAATGACCACTGGTATGGGTCTGGGTTCCTCCTTTTCACCTGATGGCTGACTGGAGTCCTGTTTGGGTTTCTTCTCTGCTTTCAGGAAGGCCCAGTTAGGATATCCACATTGCTCTAGAGCCTGTCTTGTGTGGGATTTCTCCTTCTGCCTGGCTCCTGAGCTAGTGGGGACGCTGTCTGCTCTGTGGTACAGAGTCCTGATGACTCCTAAGTTGTGCTCCAAAGGGTGATGGGAGTCAAACTGCAAATACTGGTCTGTTTGGGTGGGTTTGTGGTACACCTCAGTTTGCAAATGTCCTCTGTCAGAGACTGAGACCTCACAGTCCAAGAAAGCCAACCTGCCATTTTTTACATCTTCTCGTGTGAACTTGATGTATTTATCCACAGAGTTGATGTGGTCAGTAAAATGTTGGACTTCCTGAGATTTAATTTTAACCCAGGTGTCGTCAACATACCTGAACCAATGACTTGGTTGTGTCCCTGAAAAGGACGTCAAGGCTCTCTTTTCTACCTCCTCCATGTACAGGTTGGCAACAATAGGAGAAACTGGAGACCCCATAGCACACCCATGTTTCTGCCTATAATATTGCTCCCCATATGTGAAGTAGGTTGACTGCAGGCACAGTTTCAAGAGTTGACACAGTTGTTCTGTGGAAAGCATTGAAAGCGTGGAAAGCGTAACATCCACTACTTCATGTTCAATGTAAATGAAGGTGTCCAGTTCTTCTGTTAGTTGTTTTGTCATAATTAAGTTCCATAAAGTTCATAAAGTTCCAGTCAATACAATTTTGATCATTTCAAATTCAAATTCAAATTCAAAAATACTTTATTAATCCCAAAGGGAAAATATTTGTTGTTGCAATTCGTTATCCTCATTTCATTAAGAGATGTTATAGATGCTGATGCTGTAGACAGGAAGGATCTCTTGTAAAGGTCCATCCCACAGTGGATCCTAAGAAACTGGCTGCAGATGCCGTCTGATCCGTCCACCCAAACTTGGCTGGGTAATTTAATAATTTCCTTATTATGTTCAGTTTACTTCAGTATTTTTCCAGTTCCTCAATGTCTCGAATGACCACAACCTTAGCCTCTTCAGAGGCTCCTTTCAGTTTGATGAATGTTTTACAGTTTGTGCCCAAGTTTTCTGTATTTTTCCTTGTTTTCTGAGTAAAGTTGCCTTTCTAGCTATGTCTGCATCTTTGGTCAAATGTTAATTCAGATAGACATCAAATCCCTTTAGTTTTCTCCCTTGTTTTAATAGTTCCATTTTATGCTTTCTGTTAGTAAATCTTATAATTATAGCTGGTTTCCCTGTGTTGGTTTTCCATGGGAGAGTGACATGATTCAATGGTTTTGTTGTTTGCCTCTATTCCCTTGGAGTGGACAAAAGTTGTCAGTGTTCACCTGCTGCTCTACAGAGTTTGACGTCTCCTTGCTTCGATCCTCTACTTCTCCTCCTGACACAGCTCGTGAATATGACTGTGGTTTTATTTGCAGCCCGGTCACAATTATGTTGTTTATATGGGTATATTACTCTAAGTCAGCAACATAATTATCAAGAAAGGTAATCCTTTTATCCTTCTTTATGTTCTGTAATTGTAGAGCTTTTACCTCCTCCACCAGATCCAGGATATTTCTATGTCGTAACCTGATGGTTGAGACTTCCTCACCCAGAAAGTCTAGGGATTTCTTGATATCTTCCATCTCCTCTGATGAGGGAGCTCTTTTCAGCGCCATTTTACTGTGCTGCTGCTTTTGCAGCTCCTGGGCCCGGTGGCAGCAGCTCCTTTTTTCTCCTCCTTCCTCTCGTCTTTGTCCTCCTTTCTCACTGTCCTTCTTGTCCACTCTTTTTACAGTACTTTGCCATTTTTGAAGCTATGTAAGTTTTAGTGTGTTTAACAGTTAGGGATGGGGCCGATTCGATCCAGTATCCGTATCGGCCTCCAATACCAGCATAATTTACGTATCGGATTTTTACGATCCAACCTGCAGAGATTTCCGATCCATGATGCATGTTGACTTCAAACTATGGAATGGATTTCCTGAAATGAGACGTGTCTCATGAACCCAGAGTAATAAGACCCAACTCACATTCAGGAAATCCAGTTCATAGTTTGCAGCAGCTACAACATGAGGACTGAGTTAGCAGCACTGTGGTTAACAGCTAACAAACTTTTCATCTAAACATGTCCGCTGTGTGGAAGTATTTTACACTAGAAACACCACAAAACAAGACAGCAACGTGCAATGTCTGCAGAGCCATAGCACCACATTAAACCGCGGTAAAGTTAGTTTTACGTTGGACATTCGAGCTCCGGGGCTTCAGCAGGGAGCTACTTTTGCTCAACCCAAAACAGGCAACTCGACCCCGGCCAGCCGCGTACAATCTGCCCCGCTAAATCTGCCCGTCTCTGAGTCAGAGTCAGAGTCAGAGTTTCTTTATTGTCATTCGCACCTCATGTGGTACATGTGGTGGAGCGAAATTATGTTCACAGGGTCCCAGTTACATCCAACAATAAAATGTATAAGAAAAACAGTAATAACATCTAAGATATGAACTAAGAAAAACATCAACTAAATATACACTAAGCACTCATAACATAAAACATTGAACATCAGCACAAACATGAACATGAGTCTGTGAGCAGATGTGCACGCATGAACACATCAACATTGAAACAGATCAGCAGCAACATGAAACAGATCAGCAGCAACATGATATGGTTATGGAGGAGGGACAGACTGAGCGCGGCTGAATGAAATCAGGCTGCTTGCTGCGGATTGAACAAGAAGAAGACATCGCTGAAACCACGGAGCTCGAATGTTTACAGAGAAGTTGCTAAACTTCATCATGATTCATGACCAACCACTATCAGTTGTAGAAAACAAAGGATTTCACAGCTTGATACTTGCAGCCAAGATATAGTTTACCCTCCAGGAGATATTTATCACTACAACAGTAGACAATAATAAAAAAACCCAGATGATTTGAAAATTACAAGAAAATTATATATATGGGCACCACGGTGGCGCAACTGGTAGAGCTGCTGCCTCTCAGCGAGCAGGTCCTTGGTTCAAACCCCGGTCCAGGGGCCTTTCTGGGTGGAGTTTGCATGTTCTCTCCGTGCATGCGTGGGTTTTCTCCGGGTACTCCGGTTTCCTCCCACAGACCAAAAATATGCATGTTAGGCTGATTGGTAACTCTAAATTGTCCCTAGGTGAGAGAGAGAGAGTGAATGGTTGTTTGTCTCTATGTGTCCCTGATGGACTTGCGACCTGTCCAGGGTGTACCCCGACCCTCGCACAGTGATTGCTGGACATGGGCACCGGTGAATCCCATGACCCAAAATGGAAGAAGCGGATAAAAGATGATGGATAGATGAAATTGTATATATATATATATATATATATATATATATATATATATATATATAT